TAATACACTTTTAAATCCTTAATATTAAAATAAAAGAGTAGTTACTGAATATAAATTCCTCTTGTATAAAAAGAGCTAGAAAAATATGTTGAGACTCCTACGTAGTGTGCTGTTTGCTGGAAATTCTCAGGTGTCTACATGTTTGTAAAGGGCAATCAGAAGCTGTTGTTCCACAACAGAACAAGCATGTGGGCCCTTGCTGCCTTCCTTGTTACCCAAGTGATCATTTACCATGCTCTTAAGGACTTAGGTTCTTATTTTTCCAATAAACAAACTATCTTGCAGAAAAGTGAGTAACATTTAAACTGTTCATGCACAAGCACTGCTAACAGTGCTGTTGGAAAAATGAATGATGAGGTATTTTTCTTTTTTTCCCTCCCCCAAAAGGCTTTGGGAGTTTCCAGTCAAAACGACCGATCAACAATAAAGAAAAAAATTAAGGATATTAGAAAAACACAAGAAAAACTGGAAAAGCAGAAGGAAAAGGTTCAAAAGAAGGAGAGAGAAGTTCGCAAGACTGGCAGAGTGGTTGCCACTCTTGAATCAAGCTGCTAAAATGACACTTTTCTTTTAGCACAGACTTGCTTCATTTTGAGGAAGTTCAGCAGATTTGTATATAATTGTACAATTGAGGGAGGAGGGATATGTACAACAGTTCAATATGGTAGGTGAGTTTTTTTAATCCTTAATTATGGTCCCTCCCCATTAAAACCCAATAAAAATAAATTGTTTTCAGTATTTTTATTTCTAGTTGACTCTACCTGTACTAACAGACAATAATTTAACTTTCTGCCTTAAACAACATTTGTGCTTCTAAGACCTCATACGCCCTTTTCATTGAAATTTATGTTTGTGAAAAGTAGAATACTGTATTAAAAATCATTCCAATAGTAGTCAACTAGAATTCGATGGAGTTGAATCTAATAGAGGGACAATAGAAAAATCCTGCCAACAAATTCAGTCTGTGACAGTCTGTGTACCTTTTGCCACTGAAGATGTATAGTAAAAATTAAGAAAACGGTAATGTCAAATTAATTTAAAAAGAAAGCATGTATTTCAAATTTATGAATTATTTTGTTTAAATTCTTGTTTTTCTGGGATTTTCATTCAAAGTTCACTGTAGTAGCACATTGTTTTTTAACTCTGTGTTGCAATTTATTGGGAAAATAGCAAGAAATATTAAGACGTTTTCACAAACTACATTTACTAAGCATAACACTAAATTTTCTGTACACTGCCCATATGGTGTTGGGACAAGGTTTAAGCCTATAAAAAAGATCTTTTTTAACGTATTTTTTTCCTAAATAATACATAGTTTTATAGATTGATGCTATGAATAAGATCAATTTGCAATACATGTATTTCTCTTTTCTACCTGCTGCAAGATTTTTGCGGACCAAATTTATATATTTGCTAATTTTAAACTATATTGGTTTTCAAACTTAAAGTACTGAGAGAAGAATTGTAGGAAAAACTATCACTAAAGCACTGGGTTTCTGCATTGTATTTAATTGTTCAATTGTAGACTACGGATTATTTCTCTTTAAAGGAGGATTTGATTCTCAAAATAGTTTAGAACGTGAATTGGTGTTTTGTATCTTTACATACTATTTTCTAGAGATACTATAACAGCACTTCCTTTAACTAATTATTCCAAAAACATAGACTAGTTTAAGTATCAATTCCACTACAGAATGGACTAGAACAAAATTTACACAATTAATGTGGACCAAGTTCTCCTTTAAATCTGTGGACTGTTTTTCATTTTAATTAAATGAATGAACTTCACTATTCATGTTTCACAGTTGGGTTTTTTTATTGTTTTTTTTTGTAAATGTCTTTGAATTTCAGCAAAAGAACTGTGGAAATGCTTCTGCACTCTATGCATTTCCAAAATAAAATTTGAAAATCTTGGTAATAATTACTCTTTTAAAGAGGTTCAGTTTTCAGTTTTGTGCATTAAGAAACAACTCCTTGGACCAGATTTAACTTATTTGTTTACAGTAGCTTTGAGCTTGTACTCCAGATTTCCAGACCTTGAGCTAGAGAGGAATGCTGCCCTACTGAGAGAAGAAAATGGAGTAAGAAGTATGGAAAGATCATCTGCTTAAGATCACACACACGTAAAAACACCCTTTGAACAATTTAGTCAAGGAAGTTTATTTTTCAGTTAAGTGCTTTCTGCTGTAACAGAGAGTACTGATACAACCATGTATTGCGTTTTTTCTTTAAGCCTACTGAACTGAATGTTGCACCCCCTGTGAAGAGCTTGTTTCTCAGGCTGGAGACTAGTGGAAATAATGGTTTCAAAGGTTTCTCTGTGTGCAGAGCTGTTCTAGTTAAACAGGGGCCACAGCAGGGATGATAAAATCACCCAACACCTGAGCATATGAACATTGATTATCACAGCCCATTGTACTTACCTGTCAGATGCTAAATTAGAAGGTTGGCTTTGGGAAACCAGCTTAGTACCAAGCCACAAAATGACCCAACTCTTAAGTTTATTTTTTTAAATGGTTTTAATGAATAAATGTAGTGATTCTTTCAAAAATAAATAAGTTAACACAAACCAAGATCAATTTTACAGTGCAAGACTGATTGCATTTGCATACAAAACTATTAATCTCAGCAATTGAGAGCTGAACTAATTTTCTACAGTGATTGACTTCAAATTAACCAGTGTGCTGGCAATGGCTTCAGTATAGTAATGAAAATATTAAACACACAAAAGTGATCTTCCGAACTTCTATTTAAATCAAAAGTTATCAGACTTGTAAGTAGGGTTAAACATGGTAAACCAAAATGTTACTATATTTGAAAATCACTATTTCACTACAATCACTCAGGGTGGCAGGGGAGGAGATAGATAAAAAAACAATTACACAGCAAGTTGTTCTAATCAGAATTCGATCGGTATCTAGCTGAGAGCATGCAAAAGGTTTTATTTCCAAAATACCGTATGAAATATTTTTAGACTTTGTAGAAAACATACTGTGTTAACTTTTCTTTGGAAGTCTCTTGTTCTCAGGTGTTACTAAAATCAGTTAAGTTAAACATTTAAAACTTAGCATAAAAGCAAGAATGTTTATACTGACAGTTTTTAAAATCCTTTGCTGTAACTTTAAGCTTAAATTTAGCAAAAGCAACAGCTGCAAGCATTCCCTCCAACTTTTACAGTACATAGAATTTCTCACATATATCCTCTTGCAGGGTGAAGATCAGCTATAGATCATAGCCATGCAGACTGTAAGGCATGCCAGTCACCTCCTCACATCCTTGTAAAGAAGAAAAATAGGGCCCTCTAAAAGCGCCCACGAGCTTGAGTGGAGCAGGTAACCATGCTGTTCTGGTGGCAATTAAGCTAGATTAATCCTCCCTCAGAGTGTCATTTTAACTGCATATAAAGCCCATTCTGTAAATCACTCCTGTTAAAGTGACCTGCATAGGCTTGATCAGGGTATAAACCATTTTCTTGTTTTGCAGAACTAGGCTAGGGAGGTAGCAGATGATAATCTTTAATCTGGCTCAGCTACAACTAGAATAGTGTGACTTCACTTTCTAACTGGAAGCTATTCCCTTGTGGTATTTCACCACCTGCTCTGTGCAGAGCTAGGAAACTAGCAAGATTTAGGCTTATTCTTTCTGAGAGGGATTATGCATGTTTGCTGCACAACAAAAATCACAATTACAAGCAAAGAATTAACTGAGAAAATGTCTTTAACTACATCACTCCTAAAATGGTCAGGAATGACAAGGATCAAGGTGCAATGCAGATGTGTATGATTTCAACAAAGCTGGCAGAAAAGGCATTAAAAGAAGTTGAATCCTTTATTAAAATAAGGACTTTGTACCTGAAATTTAATACTCGTTCTCCTCTCTATCTTCCCTACTATGTCTTGACAATTTCTCTCTGGCTGACAAACATATTCTGCTTACCTTATTTATGTTAAAGTGTGACTTCCAGTTACTGCATAAATGAGGCCAGAAGTACATCACAGATACAAAGGTATTTTCAAAAACTGTTAAATACTCCTGAGAAGATCGTTTCTGTTGTCAAAATAATAGAGATGCCCTACTAAGGGCAAGTTTTAAAAATCTGTTTATTAAAATAGTTTCTGTTTATAGCTGTAACCTGACATACCCCAGGGTTTGAGATCTTCCTAGGGCTAGAACATTGATACTGTGTTTTGGTATTACCTACAGCAATACAAGCAAATGCAAGACAGCATATGTTTACTGTACACAAGCCAACACTATTTGCTAGTTCACAATTATCATGGCAAGGTAAGTTTTTCACATGTATTAAATATTCACATTACAACCAAAGAAACATGACTGATACCACATACCTGAGATGCATTATATTAGTGGTAGCAGCTAGAACTGATTGGGTTTGTTGGGGGGTTTTTTATCCCTACAGACCTAATTGTTATTTCTACAGCCACAAAAAAACCTTGATGTAGGCAACATACCTAGCTTTGCAAAATTAGGCTCCAGCATGCTTAAGATAAAAGAACAGAACGTGCCATGGAGATGGCAAAGGTAGAGCAGTGAGCTCAGTATGTCTTACTTGAGCTCTGGTGAGCTTTTCCCATAGTTTTTTTTCTGTTAAAACAATTTTGTAGTGATATGAATTAATAAATTTCTCACCAGATATTAAATAGATTGCATTGGTTTCTTTAAAACTCAAAATTACAGCTGTTTTGATTTAGTTACTGAAAGTAGTCACAAACAGTAAGTGGAGCAAATTAAGTGTGACCTTCTCACCTAAAATTTAAAAGGATGTACAGGTTTTGGGCTTCCCTTGGGTTTTGTTAGGTTTTTTGTTGTGTTTTGGTTTTTTTTTTAATTCCAGGAAAGGGCAATTACATTAAAATTATTGTTACTGCACTTAAAATTATTTTCACCTATCAAATGTGGTTCAGCATCTTGGTGTAAAAGAGGTCTTCTAAATTCCCTTTCCAGACATACCTACTTCTTATGAACTGTTGAGGAAAAAGCTATATACTGCGAAACGTGGTCATGTCCTTTGGCTCACTGCTTGGCACACACCAGTCATCTGCTTCATGGTTTGCTTTATAATGTTTCCAGGCTGCTTTGTTATATACAGGGAGTTTTTCAATTGATTCTGTTGATAAGGCCTGTAAGTAGAGAAGACTGTAGCTGACTATTCTTTTTAATCAAAATTATAGTAAAAGAACAAGGATTAGCAGTTAAAGTTGCTGGTAAGTTTAAAATGGTAAAGTATCATACCTTTATGTAAATAACAGCATCTGTACCATAGCCTTCTAAGGAATACAGTTTGAGGTCTCCTTGGAAGTACTGTGCATACAGACGTGATATGGGTAAGCCATAACCAAATCCAGCCTAATCCAGGTGAAAAAGTGTATTTTCATTAATTGCATCCATCACTACCATTTTTTATTTTAATTTAATAGTTAAATAGATGAACTAAGCTTGACATTCGACAGTAAGAGAAGGAGTTCAAATGTTAACTATTAGGCCCCCCAGAACTATTATACACCCCAGAAACAGAATAATTCATGAATTATTGCAATGATGACAAAGCTGCTTTACTTGTTGGTCAGACAGGGCTGCTAGGTAACACTTACTGTATTATGGTAGATTTTTCAAGAAGAGATTAATATAATTAGAGAAATGGTACTGACTCTGTCTTATGCCTCATGGAGCTGCTAATCTTAAGAACACTGAATATTCAAAGTCAGATACGTGTCATCATCAGTATATATAAAAAAGGCCCAAAAAGGAATGTCTATGAATTTGTAGCTTATACTAAAATGCTATCTAGGCCCTGTCTGCAGTAGCAGGACACAGACCTGAAGTGGTAAGTACTATTTTTTTTTTTAATCTACTAAACTTCAGAGGTAATCTCTCGATGAACATACACAACACTCCTCTGTATAGACCTAGTGTTTAATGAGTTGCACAGTCATCTACATGCAGAACACTTTATAAATTTAAAAAACACATTTTGAATGATGGAATGTGAGAAAATAAGTTCAGGAAAGCTGTTCAGAGCTTCTTACTGAGAACTAAGGCCTTATTTCTTGTGCATCTGTTAAGTTTACCTGAGACCAAAGTAGGTTCTTAATATGCCCTGTCACATCTGTGTTCATCCTTGCTGGGGGATGGCAACACATTTCTACACAGTACAAGCGTAGCTATGGACTTGATTCCAAATCATTGCTATAATTATTTTTCCTTTCATTCAGTGGCCACAACAATTTGGAGCCCTGTCCTTACTGCAGTTCATGCAGCATAGCTAACTGTTCTGCTTGAGGTAGCTTATCTTTATACTTGGCAGAGAAAAACAGAATCATAGAGAAGTTTAAGTAATTCATAGTATTTTAGGGTCTTATGCAATCTTCCAGTTACATCAGAAAAGTGTTTGAATTAAACTGTAACATCCAAATAGTGATACTCATATCTATAGAATTGGTACTTCATGGCTTTGGCTAAATGGTTCCTTTTGTGACAATTAAACATATAGAAGATTACATGATATAAAAGATTCGCATACCAAAGGTGTAGCTCGTGACGTCTCAACACGTGGACGTGGTGCTGTTGAATACATGTAGTTGAATAGTCTGTCAATTTTCCTCATAGGAACACCTCCCCCACGATCACTCATCTGAAGGATGAAGGAACATGCAGCATTATGTCCATTAATACATTTTTATAAAAGACTGCTTCTCTCAAACAATGATCCAGATAAAGTTCAGGTAAAACATACATAAAGTTGGCCCTATTAAATTATGGGTTTTCTTAAATTCTCATCTCTCAGCTACAGCAATGACCAGAGAGACTAATCCTTCCTTTTCATCCCTATAAAACAAATTATTTTAAATACTACCATAAGAAGCCTTCATAATCTCTTGGAAGCAATAAAATTCTTGCTTTAATTAAGCATTACTTTTATCTTGTTCATAACTCAGTTTTGTCTGAAGTCAATATCTAAAACTTTTAGCAAATGCCAGGTTCTGTGTATTTTTATCTTTATTCCTGAGGAATATTGCCAGTTAAATACAATATATTAAAACATATTACTGAAGGAATTAAGTCAGAACAGTTGTTGTACTTTACTTAGACCTATGGAAACACCAGTGCTTGCAGCTGGTCTTTGAAATTCAACATGGATGTTGTATGGAAAACTTAAAGGAGATGTTGTACTTGAGGTTTGATTCGCATGGAACATACAATGTTTATTTCCCTTTTTTCAGCTGTTGCACATGTGTATAGTTCTGTCGTTGTCACATACAAAATGCTGATATTACAACTGTAGAAAGATGCTACTTCATTTTTAGTTGTGGTTGCTTATAAACTAGGCAAGACATGAGTGTGACAGAAGCAGAGAGCAGAGCCTTCAGTATGACTGTGCAACCTCTTCATGAGTTTCCTACTGATGTGGAATGTGAAATTCCATAAAGCTCTTGTTACAACACTACGTAATCACATACAATCTATTGTTAGAATCGGGTCATCAGCTAAAGTTAGTAATCCTCTGCCTATGACAGAGTATAAAACTAATTAAAAGAGCCTTCAAATAAAAAAAAAAATTGATACCTTCACAGTTAAATCCTCAGTTCCCAACGTGATGTGCACTTGAATTGGAGGATAAATGCATCGATCAGCATTATGTTCCATGGTGGCTCTCATTGCATTCTGCAAGTTTCAAGTACAGTTTAAATTCTGTTCTTACCACTTTGAATATTATCTTAAAACATAAATTTAGTAAAGTTACTTTTACCACATTTCAGAATGAGGACAAATGTATATGGTTTTAGAATAGCTTTTTATTATTTTGGGTTTGTTCAGTATCACTGTTTAGACAGTATATTAGAATACACAGACTTAAAATGTTTGTAGACCATCTGAATATTTAGTGTACAGCTTTATTTGTAGAATTTTTAATAATGCTAGTGCATCTAATATGACACAAAAATCAAGAAAAGTCTAAGGTTAAACTGCTTGAGGAAAGCTCTGTACAACCTCCTCACGTTACACCATATTTGAAGATGCCCCAGAAATTTTATATCTTATTCTCACTTGCTTTGTTAACTAATATCTTTATATGATTTCAGATTTTTTTGACAAAACTGTCTACTCAGAAGGTGTCAGATACATTCAGTGACTAGGCAAAGGAGATAGATCTCCCAAAGCTGTTCATTTTCTCTACAGTTAGTACGTGTCTGAAAAATTCAATTCAGGTACCTTCCCACAGTCAAGCAGTGAAAGGAATGCACTTGAAAAAACACACTGCTATCTAGAATTGGTTAATAAATCAAAGAAATACAATCTCACTAAACAAAGATGTATAAAAGAATTGCATAATGATAAGTGCACTCACCTTGAAAAGTTCAAAAACCATGTGATAGAGATGTGATGGCACATATACCACTTGCATGGGCTGCCCTGGGGATTTAGCTGGATAAAAGAAGAGTCTAAGTAATTAAATAGCAAACTAGGTACCTTTCTTTCATTTTTGCAGTAATTTAAAATCTATATTATTATTGTTGAGAGAATTTACAAGAGAAGGAAAATTTGAACAGGAAATCTCTTGAAAAGTTGTATGTTAATCAAAAGCCATACTTATACCTATGAGGACGTTATCATGAAGGCAGAGTCAGGGTCTTCAGGTGGTGGGTGGGAGAACAAGAAACAGTGAATGCAAGATAAAGTAACAGAGGTTCAGACTAGATATAGAAAAAAACTTCACCACGACAGTTAAGCATTCAAAAGGCTGCCCAGGCATGTTATGTAGTCGTTACCCTTGGAGAATCTCACAGCTGTCCCTGCTTCAGGCAGGACATCCGGAGGTCCCTCCCAACCTAAATTATTTTATAATCCTATAATGCAGCAATTGGTAACTACAGCATACTTTAGAAAATGCTAGTTTATAACAAGAAGCCTTAACAAAAATTATATGGACAACTCTGTCCATTTAAAACTACAAGTTTTTAAACATTTTTAAAGAATAAATTATAGAAAATGTATCATGAAACACCTTCATTATATAAAAAATTAAGGAAAGGTTGCTCAGAAAGTTCTATTAGGGTTTTTTTAGTTCAACAAATTAATGACTTCTCACCAGACTGTGCTAGTGATGAGTGCTTTATCAACATAAATGTTGAAGACAAATGATGGCAAAAGATCTAGAATAAATTCTGTACCCAGCAAAAATAAAAGTGGAATTAAAAAAGAAAAGAACACACTTTGAAATATGTCAGGGTCCTGTCCTCAAGTTAGTGGCTTCCTGCCAGGCCTTCACCTCCAGATTCCATGCCTAAGCTTTAAATAATGGTCTTCATTCTCAGCTGTGGGCAAGGAATGTGCATTTAGCCTGTATCAGGTTTAACTCACCTTCACAATCCACTGAGCAAAAAGGTCACTCCTTTTATAAAAACTGAACTATTTGTTCTGGCTTCTGGAGCAAATAAACCATTAAGTATCCCCTCTGTACAGAGAACTAGCATGACTGATAGTTTCTTATAGATGTTTTTAGCATCATGCTCCAAAGATAAGAGGTAAACCCTTTAACCTAGATACAGAATGGCAGGTTTTGTACAGTAAGAAGAAAAGATCTGAAATGTGTAGTCAAGACCACACTTTCTTTGCCTTTAGCTCCAGAAGCCAAGTTACTGTGATTGCACTCTGGCTTTTGTAATTACTTGTAGAAGTGATTTTAATTCCTTGGTTTTGTGTGTCTGTCTGAACTTGGCATTTAGTATCAT